CCCCCCCCCCCCCCGTTTTCATGTATTTTCTATTAGGACCAAAGCTAAAGCCATTTTACAATACAGGTTATTAATATATCCAAAATAATTGATAATACACAAAGCCTTTATGTAATTCTTGTGCACTGTTTGATGCCTATTTTGTTACCCAGCTCCTTCAAAAGCCAATACTTCTGACATCTATTGTATGGGGACTGGAATTGACACAGCTAATCCTCATTTCCATTTATTGCTTTTCTTTGGGTTTTAAGAAACGCGTCGTTCTGCACTGAGGTTTTAAAACATTCCACTGCTTGCATTCAGTATGCAAAAAAATGAAAATAATGCCAATGAATAAACACATAAAGTATAATCCATAACCCTGTCCCTTTCTAATATAACATAAAATCAACACAACTGTAAGCAAGAAATCGAATCAGCCAGACAAAAGGCAGAAGTCAATTTCAAACCGAGGAACTAAGTTTCAACCTAGATTTCTCTATGGCTAATTCAGCTTGTTCAGATATGGCAATGAGTTTTATTTCAGCCAAAAGCAGCAATAATATTCTTATTGTATTCTTGATTCACCACAGTCAAAGGGATAGATAGTTTAGTATAAACCTTATTCACTACTCAAGTTGAGAAGCCGTGGAACAAACGTGCCTATCAAGTGGCACCAGTGCCTTGTGTGTTAACTTTCTTTGCCCAACAGTGAATCTGAAGCTTTGAAAAATAGCTCTCTCCTTTTTCCCAAGAAGTTCACAATAACTGAGCAAAAAGGTGTGCTAAGGCCTAAGTAAATTCAAGTTGCATCTGGGTCCTATTCAATTCAACTGCAAAATTCCCATTCATTTCAGTGGGAGCAGGTTTTAAAAGGGGCTGACAGCTCCCACAAATATCAAAGAACATAAGTGAGTGGATCAAACGATTTGTCCCAGCTGGTCAAGCACACACGTTTTACTAACAATATCTTTGCAAACATTTTGGGGGATTTTCTTCCCCTCCCTGCTCCCCCCCCCCAAAAAAAAATAAAAATAAAAATCACACTGCTTTTCAAACAGTTTTTTTAAATGGTCAACATTTTTCAGAGAGAGGTAGTCATTTGTATTAGTCTGAAACCAGGCAGAAGGCAGATTATTGATTAACTAAATAAGCTATATATGCTCTCTTTATATATATATATATATCTTATGCTCTCTCTTTCACTCTCATAAGTTTATAGTTTATGCTTTTTATAGATCTTATTTAGCATATAAGGTGCAGATCTACTCTGCCTTCAAAATTTTTCAAAAATTAGAAGTGGCAACAAAAGGTAGTTTTCAAACAGTTCTTCACATGTATTTCCTGACATCTTTTCTGCATTCTTTTGCCAGCTCTCCACTTTGTAGTGCATCAGTCATCCTGGAAACCTCAGCTGCAAGCCTTGAGAGATGTGATACAGCAGCTGCTTAGTGGCCTCTTGAAGTCATTTCACTGACTTGCTATTGAGGTTAGGGAAAAGTAAAGTACAATTTTGATCATTTTTGTGCTCTGAGATAAAGCACAAACTTGCCTGAAAACAGCTTGTAACTAAAGGAGAACTGCCATTTTGGTTTAAATGTTATTGCTTTGTTGCCACTATGCTCGAAAAAAAGGAATACTTGCTTTGTAGGGTTTTTCTGACTTGCTTATCTTTTACAGAAGTTGATGTTTGTTCACCATGTGTTTTAGGAAGACATATACTTAAGAGCAATGCAGAAGAGCTACCATGACAGCCAAGAAGCATAAGGTGTGGAAATAAGACTTAGCTCCTAAAAGAAACAACAATATTTTAA